GTGTGTGTGTGTGTGTGTGTGTGTGTGTGTGTGTGTGTGTGTGTGTGCCTGTTGTCTGTGCTCTAAGGCTGTGTTTCCACAACCAATAAACAAACTGTTTTAATGAGATTCCTGGAAGTATTGCCCCTACAACTGTGTAATTGTATCCACCCACTGACGTGCTTGGAGGGTTGCTTCCATAGAATATGTTTTGTGTACAATATAACATAAATATAAAAAGTATGTGTTTACTGTTTTGCAGTTCTTAAACCCACACATAAGACACCTGTAGAAGGAGAGCTCTTGATGCATTAAATGCAGGTCTTTATCTGATGTTATCTCGTTTATCTGTATATTTCTCTAAAGATGTTGGACTTTCAATTGATGAGTGAAACATGTTATCTATATACCGTTTAAGTAAAACGAGACTCACGACAACATGCAGAACCACCAGTGGTAAAGCAGAATTTAAGGGGCTCCGGGGATCCAATTTGAGGCTGCAGGTTCCCTTTGAACTCCCTATGTCACTTCCCCTCTCCCTTGGGGCACAGAGGAAGTAGGAGCAGATGTGTTAAGCTAACGGACACTTTGACAACACTGCCAGTCTGTAAGTTCCTCTACCCCCCCCCCACCAACTATTCCCGGCTTTAACAGAAACCGCCTTTGATGTACACGGCACCTGTGTGCTTACACGCAGCCCTCGGTTACAGCCAAACACTGTTCTGCCCACCTCTGCCATCTCGTGTACAAACACTGTCACCGTTGTATACCTGTGTCACAAAATACGCCGTGTCTGGCAACAACATTCTGGCCTGTGATGTAGCGTGTAGGTGAAAATATCTCACCAAACTGTTACAATCTCTTAGTTCTAGAAACAGATTCATGAATATTTATTTTCCAAACTGGACCGTAAACTTGTGATACTTAAGATGATTGTTTCATGAATTGACTATGTACATTTTAAGATTCGTGTTGCCCACATGGGTTAGTATGAAATATGAATAATCTGAGATTAGAAGGGATTACCTATCCCTGTGACTGTAGATGATAACCAACTGGAAAAAGCAGTAATTATGTATGTCAACATATTCGCTATATCCATCAAGAGTATTATTATGAGGTATTTCTCCCCCTTTGTTCAGCAGTGTGCCGCCACAAACCATGTTTATCTTAGGCTTCTTTGTTATGTAACTGACATGGTTTAGTTTCTGGAATGCAAGAATGTCGACCTCTTGTGGTGTCTTTAACTCATTACACCAATCCTCTGCATGTATGTTTTCATTCTGAGGACACACTCCCCCCCCCACCCCCACCTCTGTATCTAGCACGTGCAGTAAAATGCGTCTTTGGCACCACTGATGAATATGATTGGCCCGCTCTGATCCCAAAACTTCCCTCCATGTTTTCAGTCTTCATCAGTCGCTGACACGAGAGACTCACTCACGGGCATTTGAGAACATGATTGTTTATAAATCTGAGTCATTCCTCAGACTGTGGGAGAAGAAATGCATGTGACTTTGCAATCTAATCTCAAATGATTTTGTGTACGATGTATACCAGTTTACTCCTCTACTCTTCTATTTGGGACTATATTACCCACAAGATAAAAATGTTAAGTTATTTACGAGCAAGGATATTCAGAAATTGGTTATAAACTCTTCTTTGCCTCGTGATGTATGTTGAAAGTGAGTGGGAGGGAGTAGGTGAGGCAGAGAGAGGGGAGGGGGGGGGGCAGCAGTGTGAGCGTAGCTATAAAACCGACTTCGATCTCAAACCAGCTCAGTAGCAGACAGCTGTGCAGGACAAAGCACCTCTCCTGTGTGAGGCTCTGCAACAGACTGATAAACAGGACAGCGAGTTTTAATAGCTTTTTTCTGGAAAATACATTCAGGATTAAAATAGCAGCGATGACGACAATGTTCAGATACTCCGTCTTTCCTCATCTGCAGGGTGAGTTAAGCCAAGATTGAATTTTGTACACTTTTTGTGTGTTTTTAAACTCTTTTTTTTTTTTTTTTTTTTTTTTTTAATTTATTTATTTTTTTGTCAAATATTATTCTGTTCTCAATTCAGTTGGTTAGATCAAAACTTATTCGTATCTGTTAAAGTGTTTATTTAGCCATCGAACAGATGCAAATTGGATTATGTTCATTGAGATAAGCAGTGTGGGGAACAGTGGCACTTAGCTTCTCTAAAAGTTTCCTACTGTTGTGTTATTGTATGTAGCCTGGGATAAATATGAGGCAACTTGCTGTATCGCAGTTATTTCTCAGCTTTATAATGACCTGATGGGTGACCCTTTGGTTCGGAGATAGTAGATCTGCACACATGATCTGGTTCAATTTCTATTAATTGAAGAAAATACTGAACAATGGATTGAACCTTTTGGTGTGTATTGAAATATGTACATACCTATGTGCCTGTAAGATATTGATAGCACTGTTCTGATTCATTTCTTCATTGTAAATGGGAACAAAATGTTCCTCTTCACTCTGTGGGAACAATTATGTAATTCCAGCGCTGAGTCCTTCTATCACTATAGAGACGATTCAAAAACTCTGAGCTGGTGACGGAGGATCAGGCAGATGCTCATATCACAGGTTGAAAGGAGAATTCATAGGCCACTGAAAATGAAAAACACAGATTTGGAGACTTCTGTCACCGATGCATTTGTTGCATTCATGTCTTTGTGACATAGTGGTCAAATTTAAAGTATCTTTACTTGTCTCTGTCGATTCAGATCCGTGTGACCCTGGTCTATCGCTGTCACCAGGGAGGAGTGTCATGGCGGAGCCCGACTACCTGAACGGAGACTGTGATGAGCTCATCAAACCTAAAAAGCTGATCAACCCAGTCAAGACCTCCCGTAATCACCAGGACCTGCACCGAGAGTTGCTCATGAACCAGAAGAGGTCAGGAGACAGAAAAATACACCTTCAACACCTTTCTCCCTTTGTGTTGCCTGGCGAACATGCACAGGTTACTTTTAAGGAAGGGATTCATATTTTACAATTAGCAACCGGAGGTTTTACCACGGTTTATAGCACATGAACAAACTCAGATCAGTGTTTATTTCATGGTTTATGCATTTATTGGGTGGTAAAATACAACATCAATGTCAAGTGTGCCCCTATTCAGAATGGGTTAGACAGTGGGAAACAATACAGTGTCCAGATCCAGGATAATTTACTTACTAATGGAAGATGAGTTATTCCAGTCGCCATGCTACTTTCTTCTAATTGGTCTGATGGTATCCGTGCAGACTGTACTGATACTTCTGCAGTGTGTCACTGTTGTTGACTTCACTGGTCCCTTCGACCTCCAGCAGCAGCAGCAGCAGTATTATGTAAAGCTCAGGAAATAAAACTTTCACAGTGATCTATTACATAAAACTCCAAGTGCATTAGTGTGTCAAAAATTGGCTATGTAAAGGTCACGCAGATATAATCTACGGATGGTTAAACCTGGTCTGGCTGCTGATACTAATACTGGATCATACAATACAGGATTTGATGCGGTCCATGTGAGCATCCATGCATCAGTAAACATGCGTACTGGGACCTGGGATCACCCTTTTGACACTAAATGTTTGTAATTTCTCTCACCAAACAGTGGCGGCAGCTTTGTGCCTGAGCTATAAATAGCTACGTAAACACACATGCTGTTGACAGCTGTTACATCACAGCAGCAGTGATGCTCGGTCCTAAACAGGTCGAACAGTGAGGTGCTTTTGTAGTGATGGAGGCATTGATGAACAATGGGAAGAGGCCAGGATAGGGAGGCCATACAAGAAATGTAATTCCAACAAAAAAAAATATTAGAGAAAAATTCAGTTCCAAATGCTGCAGAATATTGTTTGTAGTCGTCTAGATGGAGAATGTCCTGCAGTGTCACAGGTCCGTGAGATAAATCTAGTGGGCTTTTGGGGGGGGATATACTTGTTATGTTTGGGCATTCTATCGTGTACTGAAAGTATGGAAAGCTTGTCTGCATGCATAGTGGATTAGTCACGCTGATGAGAGTGGGGAGGGTGGATGGATGCATGGATGGATGGATTGGCTGCATGAAGAGGGAAAAAAAATGTGTTATGTAATCAAGATTACAAAACATTCCTAGCTGAGGGCCTTTCTCTGCCTTTGCTACCTTAGCTGTGATGACTCTTCTCACACACACACACACACACACACATATGACGTATTTACAGAGGAATTTCAGAACTTCAGCCACCAAGACTGGGGAAGCATTTGAGCAGATGGAGATATTGATGTGTGAGATATTGAACACACATTCTTCCTAGTCTGCTAGAGGGTATGCACTCATGGGAGGGGGGGTCACGGATAGGAGGGTCGGTGATTATGTAAACGATGCCTACTGTGAAAGGAGAGTGGAGTAAGCATCTTTATAGCCCGTATTAGTGCCTTCGTTGACCTTAACCCTGCTCCCTTTCTGCGCGTGGTGCTCGAAAACAGCCCGACTCAATCGCGTCTTTTACCCTCTGCTCTGCTTCAGCACGTCAAGTGCTTTCACAGAACCCTCACTGTGAGGAAAAAAACAGGGCATTTAACTGCAGCCGTGACTTGAAATAAAGTAGGGCCTTGTTGTAAATTAACTCCCACTCCTTCCTGGACCACCGTGGACCCAGTTATGCAATCTTCAGGATTTAATAATGCATTTAATTAAGACATTGTTGTTGCCGAACTGCAGTCAGGTAAGCAGGCTGTGTTTTCTTTGACGAACAGATGCAGCCTGTGCAGAGTCAAGCTTTCATGACGAACGGAAAATGATTAACTACGAGGAAAGTAATCTGGATAATATGGTATTAAATTGAATTAATCAAGTAGTCAAGGGCTGCAGCATGTTGTTTTTGACCGACGGATAGCCTCGGTCCTTTTTCTGCTCTTGATTTATTTTTTCTCGTGTGTGGCACTTTATTGTGCCTCCCTAATCCTTTGTGGACTTTGCTGTTTACTGGCTTCAGCCTTTTCTAGCTGACACCAGCCCATCTCTGTTCCCCTCTGTCTTAAGTAACCCTTCTCCCAAGCCTCATCCTCAGCCCCCACTCTTCTCTCTCGTAATTTGGAGGATTTTGTGGCATTACATAACATTCGGTATTTTTTGCTATTCTTCTCAAGGATACTTTATTAAGATGTCCCTTTTTTGAATGTTGCTGCACAAACCCAGGCAGTTGTGCAACAATCTGTCTGGTGTGCCACTGATTTATCACCCCAAGACAACTTCCATGTGAGGAACAGTTCCACGTGGGATAGTTTAAGATATGGGTTGATACATTGGGATTGTTTTGGTACTTAGAATAGGGAAAGACAATAAGAAAGGGCTCTTGGTTTTAACCCTCTTTTCCAAAGTCAGTCAAATGCTGCCTACCACCACATACACAGACATGTGGAACAATCTGAGATTGGGGTCCGAATCAAAACTTTTTCAAAACTGACAGTTTGATCCAGAAAATCAAATGCAGATCTGCACGTCAAACTAGAATGAGGTCATGGTCGTCATGTGTTACCCATGAATGTGAATGCTAATCTCCCACTGAACATGCTGTCTCGCTGATTCTGCACAGGGGTCTGGCTCCTCAGAACAAACCTGAGCTCCAGAAGGTTCTGGAGAAGAGAAAGAGGGAGCAAGTTCTCAAGGCTCAGAAGGAGGAGCAGGAGGCCCACACGAAGAGGAGCGACCTGGAGATAGAGCTCATGAAAAGACAACAGAAACTAGAGCAGGTAAATGATTGAAAGCATACATAAATATGAACAGTCACTTAGATGGATGCACATTGCTACTGTATATGATCACAAGCAAAAAACAGGATTAAAGTTTCTGACTGGACCTTGCAAGCTGAAACAAGATGCATCAACAGATTATCACCTCTATAATTAGTTTCATCTGAATTTGCCGATGTCTGTGTGGTTTTACAGCTGGAGCTGGAGCAACAGAAAAATGAGGACGAACAGGAGAACACCCCTGAGTTTGTGAAAATGAAGAGCAACCTGCGCAGAACCAAGCAGGAGGCTGACGGGGAAGAACGGACCACCTAAAAACCAGCCGGGGTGTCTAGGTCTGGCTGATTGTGCGCGTGTTTGAGAACACGAAGACTTCAGGAGAGTGTGTGTGTGTGTGTACAAAGGAGAGAGAGAGTGTTGTCTGGTGCACGGCGGTGACCTAACCGCGGTCCAAGATGCACTTCCTGGCTTTCCCAACCTAGCTGTTCCTTCCCGCAGTGAGGAGAGACTTTACAGACTAAAGACCCCCCTCTGCTTGCCATGGACCGCCAGTACTCACCTCTGCTCCTCGCACCCATTCAGCAGCACAGAGCACCCCCTGCAGGAGGGACCTAACACAGACATGTTTCATGCTAAACGCCTTCCAATGAGGGTGAACAAGCTTCCAATGAGCTCTGATGGAGAAAACAAACACACACACACAGACACACAGGAGTTTTCATCCCCTCTGTTTTCACTCCTCTCTCCACAGCAAGCTGTCGTTTCTCTTTACTGTTATCAATGTTGTTACCGTTGTTGTTGTTGTTTTTGTTCTCATCTTCAGAATCAAATAAGGAAAAGTGGACACTGGATGGACTCTTGAAGCTGTGTAATGTAAAAGCCAAACAAATGTGCTTTTGTTATTTATGTTTGTAGCTTTTAGCCCAGGTATAGGGGAGGACACTTTTAGTCTTTCTGTATTTTAGTTTGTTTTACAGCATAGTTTATGAAGCCAGAACAGGACAAAGGGAGTGTATGGTTGTGTGGAACACTCGCGTTTGCTATATTGTTTTTATTTTTTATTCCAAACATGCCATTTCCTCAGCTAATGCAATTTTGAGCAATAGTAGAACTCCCAGGCATGAGAGTGACCTTTTCTTTATATATTCTGTTGTTTTGTATAAATAAAAGTGTTACTTAATAAATAATTTAAGTTCTTGTTAGGGTGGTCTATAAGAATAAGCCTTGAATCCTGTCTGATCAGTCTTTGTGTGATTTTATGAGTAAAGGACTTGATGGGACATGTACACATGTAGGCCACCGGTCACAAAAAGATATAATTAATCAGTAGTTCTTGGGATCTCTTCTTCTGGCTCCTGAAACAACTCTGATAAGAGTCCTGGAACTTAATCACTGCAGTATTTTGTTTTTATAAACAATGGAGCCATAGATGTGCAGACAGATATTTGAAGTCAATGAATCTGAATAAAAGTGGCCATTAACTGCAAAACAATGTGTGGGTCTCCAAGGGATGATAGTTATTATTCTAATGGGAAGAAGCAGATTTATGACGACATAACCCTGTGTTCTTCCTCGGAATCTTCTTTCAAATAAACATGGTTTTAACACTCATGTTCATTTTTAATTTTATTCTGGAGTCTGCGGATTTGTTATCTAACTAATGGCTGTCTTTGTTTTCTAAATGGAACCTGATCCAAAAGTATCAGCAAAGCGGTACGCCTATAAACAGCGTATTGCTGTGATATTTAGACGGAAGATGATGTTGGTTTTGCTCACAGACTGCAACAGTCAAATGTCGAGATGAATAGTATTTGGAACAACAGGGTTGGTTGTTGAGTAGCAAAGTAGGGCAGGCATTGTGTGGTGTGGGGACTTCAGTGCACATGACACGTTGAGGGGGAGTGAGAAAACTGATGACAATGGTCAGGTAATAGGAGATTTGTTAGATGAGAGGAATTCAGTGTGCTTAAATGGTTGTAGTAAAACAAGATAAGATGGCAATACATGAAAGGAGTCTGTGTTCGATCTTACATTGGTTTCAAATAACGTTCCTCCAATATGTGACTAGAAAATAAACCAATACGGAGCCGTAGGTAGTGACAATTATCCAGTCTTATGTAAAATAAACATTCATCCAGTTAAAAAGGGCACTTACCAAAGATGAAATATGCTTTATTGTATTAAAACATAAGTGCAGAAGGATTTAATTCATTATAAGTATTGTATAATAATAAAAAATAGTAGCTGCGGCATTTTTTGATGTGGGAAAGATTTATAATATGTTATGGAAGGAGAGGCTTCTGATTAAATTACACTTCATGGGAACTGGAGGAAAAGTTTTTAATTGGGACTTTTTCAATGAGTGAACTATCCAGGTAAAAGTAACTGAAATATCCAATCCGTATGAGGTAGAAAATGGGACACCTCAGAGGAGTGACATAAGTCCTATACTATTCTTAATTAGGATAGATTATATATTTTTGAAAATGTATCATCAGACATGAGAAGATCATAATTTGCAGATGACGGTGCTTTGTTGAAAAGAAGGAGACATTTGGGTCATATAGTAAATCAATTGTCAAGAAGAAATGAAGTTGAAATGTGAGGGGGAGACATGGGGAAATAAGACGAGCAATGTTCTTATTAGCTAAATTAATTTAATATTGTGTGGAAAGAATTTAGAGACAGTTTTGACATTTTGGTTCTTAGGAGTATAGTTTGACTCCAGATTATAATGGGTAAAATTAGAGTAGTAATACATTCATGAGTAAAACAGAACCCAAAGGGATGTGACTTCTTTGTGAACACTGTGATGCCATGTACTACCATGATTAAACAGCAAACTGGAGTGTGTAGATAAAGGACAAGGCACAGGATGTTTGGGAGAGCAGTCAGGACGATGAGGTATTAATATGACAAACCGGACACTGTAGGAGTTAACTAACTCCACAAGGTGCCTGCAATGCAACTTTACGCGCGCCAGCTGCTGATTAACCTGAAAGAAGAAGAAGCTCGGCGGCGTGCAGATCCACGAAGAAGAATTCGACGCTCTCATGACTCATCAGTACGCGACAAAGATGGCCGCCTGTGGGCTATTCCGCTCCCTGTCTTCCAACTTTTTCACGGTTTTGCCTTTACTTACCCGCCCGGCAACACTTTCACCGCTGCGGCTGGCATCTCAACCTTACTTTGGAAGAACACTAGCCACTTCTTGTCGATTAACAGCAGGTATTCCCCCCGTGGGTGTGTTTTATTGTAGCATGTTAGCTAACATTTTTGGTTGCTAGAGGGTAACATTAGCTAGAGAAAAGGACACGTGAGCTCAAGACGCTGCTTCATGTCTGTCTGTGTTTATTCTGGTTGTCATACATTACAAAATACTACACACTCGTCCAGTGGGAGGCACGTTGTGGTCTGAGTCTGTTGTGTTATCTTGCAGCACTTAAATTCACAGACAAGCACGAATGGATCCGAGTAGAAGAAGACGGAGCTGTCGGGACTGTCGGGACTGTCGGGATCAGCAAGTTTGCGCAAGTAAGTTCTCTCGTGCGTGTACCCAAACAGACACGCTCACGCACACACCTGTAGGTTACTCGTTACTAAATACTTTTGCTACAGTCTTTGACCTTGCTTTCTGCCGCTTGCAGGAGGCTCTGGGAGATGTAGTTTACTGTGGACTACCAGAGGTGGGAACACAGCTGGCTCAGCAAGGTATGAAGTTGAGGGCAGTGGGGCTCAGGCTAACAGTACACACGTGTAAAATACTGTTTATGAAGGAATAAAACCTGATTGTTTAAGATAATCTGTCGGAAAAATGCCCAATATTTTTAGCGTGCAGTTTTTCCAACATGCCTTTCAAAGCAGAGACATCTAAATGATTATGATTTTACATGATTTTGCATTTTAAATAGAGAGATACATAATTTTTCCCTCAGATGCTGTTGTGTTGAGAAGCAATTGTTTGGCTACTTTCCATCCATGATTTAAAAAATAAATCTTTTAGTAGTAACATGAATGTAGCTTGTTTGGACAAACGCATGAATAGTCACCATCCCACAAAACATCGACCTTAGTTAATGTCAACATAGCAGCAATATTTGCCCTTTGCTTTCTGTGCTGTTGTGAAAGGACCTAACTTGTATAATAAATGCACTTGTTTCTAACCTCTACTGTCACAGATGAGTTTGGAGCTCTGGAAAGTGTGAAGGCTGCCAGTGAGCTTTATTCCCCTTTGACTGGAGAAGTTGTAGAGGTTAATGCACTACTGGCAGACAATCCCGGTCTGGTGAACAAATCTTGCTACGAAGATGGTAAGCGCATCCATACCAACACGTAGTCGAGTTTATGTAGTATACTTTAGCCTCTCTCGTTAAAGCTTAAACAAGAGCAAGTATGATGTTTGTCTATGTTAACACTCTGGAGTCCTACGGTCATTTGTGTGGTTTTTAATTGACGCTAGTCTTTGTTTACCTTATAAAAAATATCACTGCAGATTGGTGTTAAATATATTTGTTCAGTGTTTAGAGTCGGTACACTGGGAAGAAGTTTATGCGCTACTTTCTTATTGTTTGGACAGTAGATGGCAGTAATGCAACATAACATAGAAGGCAGCCACTGTGGATTACGAGATGAAGCCTGTTTTGGAAATTGATATCTCATACTTTGTTCAATCTGTTATTTTGTTTGTAAAAATTAACCTTTTAATAGCATGTTTTATCTTTCAAGTGTGAACCATCTTTATCCTTTACTTCATGTTTTAGCCCCTTCTCTAGTACTTCAATTACTACTCCACTTGCAGCTTGCAGCTCGGTTGATATAGTTATCCATCACACAGAACATGTCAGAATTACATTATCACTGCATGACAATGCCCTGCAGAATTTTAAGTTCACCCATAACTGCTTTTCTGTGCATTGAAAATGTAAGTTTATTCAAACATTCTTCACTGTAATTCAATCTCCATACTGTAATGAGCAAAATAAGTCTTTGACTGCCTGGAAAAGATGTTGGCAGAGATAAAAACATTTGACTTGTGCTGAATGGGCTTGAGTACGCAAAAAGGGTCCTAAAATCCCAGCATAACCTGACATAACCTATTCAACATAGGTTGGCTGATGAAGATGACCATTGGCAACCCTGCAGAGCTCGATGCTCTAATGGATGAAGCAGCCTATGAGAGATACATCTGCTCCATTGAGGACTAACCTAACACCTCTACACTAATAAGTGCTACACGCCCCTTCTCCTTTTCAAACACTACTGGCAGGAAGATCCACAAGTTGTGCCTGTGTCAGCTACAACGCTATGCTTAGCATCCACCAGTGGAGCTCCAGAAGGCTGACCTGTCAGTGTTGTAAAGCTGTGAATATTAGGAATCCTTTATCTACTGTTAAAGACTGACTTTAGGGGACCTGTGAATCTGTACTGACTAAACATCTTGTGTTGAGTTTTTGCAGTCTCAAGTCCCCAAACGGAAGCGACTGAGACTCGGTCAATAGAGCAGTTTCCATACATTTCATTCAAAGGAAAACTTGAATCTCTGTTGTAGGACATTGTCAGCACTTTGGTCTTTATGGTATCAATAATAATGTTGGTCTGCTCTGCATGTGTGATGGCTAAATTGTAGACTTTGGACCTTTTTAAAATTAGAAAATAAACATTTCCTGAGACATTGTGTTTTCTGTCATTTTTATTGAATCCCAAAGTCTAGACTTCATATTATAAAAGTGGACAGTTAAAAAAAATACTGCTTGTAATGTAGTGTCACTCATGTGACTACGCAAGATCTTTGACATTACACAGCTATTGAACAGGTAATATGCTTGACACTGCCAGAGTGTTGCACAATATGAATTATATTAGTATATTTAATCATTTGCAACATTCAAAAGTTTGAGTAAACTCGCCCATTATATCCACACCTACATATTTCCAACCAAAAGTAATCCCCCAATATACAGCTATATATAAAAGGTAGCCCCTGAACCAAAATTCTTTTTTTTTTGACACAAACACTGACAACTAAATATACATTTTCTTGATGCGGTTTACATGAGATTGTAAACGCAAATAGACCTAATAAAAAAAGACCTGCTGAGATGATACAAATGCCTTTTTCCCCCTCGTACGACTCAAAGGCGTAATGTATATTTTTGTGCAACATTCCTCAGATTTGTGTGAATTTGCAGAACACTAAATGTACAAAATGTTTTGAATGAGCATTCTGCAATCCTCTTTGTCTCAACATACTTTCCTCACTCTATCCAAAGTCTAGAGTCCAGTGTAGAATTGTTTTTTTTTCCTCATCTTTGCATTTAAAGACTATTGTTCTGTAACATTTTGTACTTGTGCATTTTATAGCAAGCAACTGTCTGGTCACTTAGAACCTGTAAACTTTCCTTCTGGACCTATGGATCACCTGACTGAGGAGACCGCCCCACCGGGTACCACAGAAAACCTGTCCTTGGCTGTTGGAGTTCGTCTGGCTCTGCCCCGAGGAGCAGGAAGCTGAGGGAGTCCCTCGATTCTGCGATGATCGCTCTCCAGCCTCTCCTTTCTCTGAACTCCCTCGTACAACACACAGGCAGTGAAGTCTCTCTCATTAAGGAAGGCAATGGTCTCATCCCTCTTGCGGCTCACGTATCCTTTTAGAACAGCATTGTAGGGGTTTGAGGCGGCATCTGGATCTTCCTGCTGGTGTTTGAATTCCATGCGGGTGATAACGGGCAACAAGAACTGCTTCCCTTCTGTTACCACACCGCCATCCCTGTGCGATAAGCCCAGAGCCTGAGAGACGAGGCGTGGGGGCAGAGGCACCAAGTCGCAGCCTGAACGCTTGTCCACGTACTGTCCAAACTCTTTTCGCGCCAGAGCTACATCTTGCAGGGAATGACTCCTCCACTATTCGCTCAGCATATGTCTGGCCAAAGACCACACCTAAGCAGTGAGGATGGCAGGGAAAGGAGATTTATATGTTACGGTGTGGAACTGTAGGTAGTGTGTTACGAAACCAACATTTCTTGAGACTGAGCATGATCGTTCCCTCACCTCCACGTCGAAGCATGGATGCGGGACATTTCCAGGGTTTGTGAATAAGCTCATCGGGCAGATCTGCAAGTTCAGGACACCATTTCCTAACATAGCTGCCGTAGGGGTCACAGGTCATTGCTGCATCGACGGGGTGCATGACAAAGTTCCAGTGATCCAGACCACACATGCCCCCATTCTGCCACATCATAGCATCTATGGCAACATCAGCATCCACTAAGGTGTCCTAAACACATGTAAATGTTGGACACAGTCAGTAAGTAGTATTGTACTATGTGTTGCTGCTTTGTGATATCTATGCGAGTGCATTTTGTGCCTTTTTATACATGCACGTCTCACCTGGAACCAGCGATAACCTTCTTGCCAGGGCAGATAGAGATATGCGATCAGAAAAGACGCCACCACATGCCTCATGTAGTTGTTCATCCAGCCCGTCACCCACAGCTGCCTCATGGCTGCGTCCACCAGAGGGTAGCCTGTTCGCCCTCGCTGCCAGGCCTTCAGGTGGCCGCGACCACTGCTCCATCGCAGAGCCTGCAAATACCAGTGGATGAATAATGCTTCGTCATAAAAACAGTTCTTCATTATGTGATATAGGCTTTTAGTAATGAAAGAAGTGAAGGGTAGTTCAACTTAACTTTGTATTTATGAGTAACACTTTCAGTACATGTTATTAATGTGTCATCAACATGTCCGTGGCCAATTTCTACCTTGTATGGAAGTCTGAGGGATTCCCATGGGAGGTCAGGAAACAATGTCAGCTGCCAGTAAGCCAGATCTCTCCACGCCAGTTTGCGTTGAAACTTTGGGGGTCGACAGCATGACCCTTTGGCGTCCCACAACAGCCAGCGTGGGCTGAGCTGACCAAAGTCAAGGTACGGAGACAGACAGCTGGTATTTGGGGCATCTGCCCTGCTGGACTCTTTTTCATATCGATACACACCTTGGATAGATGGAACAGTCATATGATACTGTAAGATCAATGTCACACTTATTAACATTCCTCCAAACACAGATACGTTTACAAAGTACAAGCAAGGTGTCTCACCATCATTCAGAAAGGCCTCTAGCCGGGCACATGCTCCTTCCTCGCTGAAATCCCAAGATTTACGGATGTTAGCTGCCCAGTCAATCTGAATGCCAAAATGAACAAAGAAATACATTGAGGACTTCATGAACTAACCTAATCTTCTTTTCTGAGATATTTTCCAATATTTCTGCTTCATTGGATAGTGATAACTTGAAGAGTGACAGGAAAGGCAGGGGAGAGAAAGAGGGGATGAAATGCAGCCATGCACCCATTTATGACCTAATCTTAATGTACACTGGGATACAGCTCGGCCCTGCAGGGCTGCTCTGCTGTGGTTACTGACCGTTGTGCCATCCTTCCTGCGGGGCATGCATGCCAGGCCTAGCGTGCCCAAAGAGACACCCTGAGGCCAGTGGGCAGGTGTGGGGAGAGATGCAGGAGGGTCCAGGGGGGGCCCCAACGCAGACCCTGGGTTCTGTCTACAGCAGTTCATGAAGTGAGACACTGAACCTATTCCTAAATCAAGAGAAGAAAAAACAGTCCACCACCAAATGAACTTCTTTCCAATAGTATACATATTTTAAGCTTTGATATTTACCACAAATATTTAAGCAAACACCAAATTAATTTAGTTGAGACTAACCTCTGAGTCCGACACCCTCCGTGCTGACAGAGTAAGGATCTCTAAGACAGTACGAGTGGAACATCCTGCAATCAACACCATCTTTCTGAAGGGCCGACACCACCACATCATCCCTCTCCTTCAGCCAAGGCTCATAGACGGCGTTAGCCACGACGGTTCTCGCCCCGGTCTCCTTTACGAGCTCCTTAAGGCTATGCAGAGAAGATCCATTTGCCTCGAAAAACACAAGATGGCTGCCAATGCTCTCCAGAGATGAAGAGAAACAAGACAAAGCTTGATGAAGCCAGTATTTACCTGTTGAGTAAGAAAAGGTGTGATTGGACAACAGTCAGGAGACTAAGCTTTAGTTCTCTTTGTGAAGTTATATGGCGAGCGCAGCCACCACAAAGAGCAGTGATGCATTGTGCTTTGACAAAGATTGCCAATAATCACTATTTTCTCTGTGAACGTACAAGCTCCCCCCATAGCCACTGTGATCCCAGGTCCCTCCTCCTCCTCAGGGCTCCAGATGAAGACAGGGATGACAGGTGCCCCAACCTCCAACGAGCCAGTGAGAGCAGGGTTGTCCCAAAGTCGCAGGTCCCTCCTGAACCACAGCAGAACCGGTGGCAGAGCTGACGCCTGTTCTTTTTGGGTTTTGGTTTCCCTGATGGATTCAAATCACCCTCGTCCATCATTTTGTCACTTTCTTCAACCGTGTCTTGCTTGGAAATTGAGCCAGACTTGCTCCGACTTGTTCCTGGTGTCTCCTTTTCATATTTGTCAACATGGGTGCTTTTCTGAAGCTCTGTTTCTTGGTTTGTCTGTGGTGGGTTCACCTTGAACCAGGGTCCAGTTTGTGGTAAGTTGTTTTTTCTCCTGACAACTACATCTGCTAGCTTCGTGTGTTTGCTTCCCTGTGGTTCACATGTCAGTTGATTAGGTCTGTCTCCAGGTTGCTGAGGTCGGGACTCTTGGCTGGGGGTCGACAGCTGCTGATCTTTCATTTCCAGTAGAGAGAGTGCCAGTGTAAGTTCCAGTTCATCATCTTCACTCTACAATTGAATTAGGACAATTATTGATAAAACAACTGCATATAGTCATTGGGGTGGAAATGGGAAAGTGTATGTATAATATTTGAAACATTTGAAAATAGTAAAAAGCATAACAAGAGCGAGAAAGCAAGTTGTTGTAGTTATGACCTGTGTAGCGTATACGATCAAACACCAGGGTTGGTGTTTTGCAAAAACTATGCAATTTTTCTTCTATTTGTTTATTACTTTCAGGAGCAAGGCACAAAAGAATGTCACTAAACGCTGTACTATGTATGATTGTGGAAGTGTCATATAACCAAGTTTTGATTCAGACTTTACTATAGACTATCAAGGTTGCTGTCAACTTAAAGTCCTACGTACTCCTCATACTGAGGTGTTTTCTATTATTTAAGCTGACTAGACTCCTTCTCAGGACAGTGTTTGGTGGACATCTCTGACTATATTAGCTTTGTTCCACCTGTAAGAGCGGAACACCGTACATCTTTGCCATTAGGGTTAGCACTTATCATTAACAAACTAATATCTACTAATTGATTTGTTTGCTTTTGTGACAATTAATTCTTATCAGAACTCTGATGAGCAGCAGACGTATAACCCAGTCAAAGACCTGGGTGTGCAGTTGATAATTGATTAGTGACATTAATTATTGGGATTTTTTTTTTTTTTAAAGATATTGTAAGAATACTTCTTGGTTGTAAACTCACGTTGCTATTAGGGAGGAGCTGCTCCCACCGCAGGTTCTAAGCTGACACACGCTAACTTTAACGCTATCTACCATCACTAAAGAGCAGGTAAGCGAGCACAGCCCATAGGAGACAAGTAGCTGCAGTGAAGAAGTGTCTGGTGAAGACATGTTAGCTCAGCCAAGAGTCAGCTATTCATGTCCTTGACACGTATTCTTATCTTAAAACGCTAACATTACAACCTGATAGTAATAACGTTACTTATATTCGTATATACTTAACAAACACTGACCTTGGAGAAGTATTCCCTGTAGATGGAGGTCAGGGTGGAGTGCAGGGGTCCGTTGGCCGTGGACAGAGGCTGGATGAGGGACAGGAACTGTGAGCGGGTCTCCTGGTGCCCCAGAGCGGACATACTAGTCGCAAAGAATCCCTCTGGATCCTCTCGACCCACCAGCACTTCCCTTAACGTCTTCCACACTAACACTTTACTATCAGCTGCTGAAGGAGGCATCTTCTAATGTAAGGTAAATTGTAGCAATAAAATGCTGTAAAACGTCTGTGAATAATCATCTACTGCATAGTTTAAACAAATATTTACCACACAATGCGCCCCACGTCCTGAACCTACTCTTCAGTACTGGTTATCTTATCAAACAGCTGATGCCAGAGTTACACAAGCCGCGTGTTAGTGTTTTGTAACCTGCAAAGTTAAAGGTTTGTAATGGATTAATCTCACCTGTAGGGGGTGTACCAGTCTAAAAAATAAGAGTTATGGGGGGAAGACAGTGAAACCCATGGGTGCCTGGCTGTTTTTATCACAGCATCAGAGTAACGTTTGGGATTCCCTTGTTTATATTTCTTTAATTTGATATTAGGGTAGAGAGGGTTAAATATATAGTAAATGCTCCGGGAATTTCTGTTTTTGTCAGAGGTTTCTCTCTCTTCCTCCCTGTTTCATCTACAGTAATGATTACACTGACATGGTAATCTACGCTTCAACTCACATGTGCCATGACAAGGGCCCACACAAGCTAAAGCCAATCAAATAAAGACCTTTTGGTAATTTCTATTGATGTGAAAATGAAGGGGGGGGGGGTCATCTCCCTTAAGATAATCATTCTATATTTTTTGCATAGCCTTCATCTTGACAGGAATGTGGTCCTTTTCAAGTTCACCCTGTGATGTGAGACTGATAAACAAAGCCAGGAGACAGTGTACCCCGCAGTGAATGTTTAATCATGGTCCGTATTCAAGCTGTAGAGGAGTTGCTAAGTAATTGATTTCTTTAATGAGACCATGCATAAGCTTGTGAATGTACGTAGCAGGGAACAATAATATATGACATATGTGGACCAAACACTATAGTGCTTTGTATAGTTGATAAGCTCCAGTTATACTGAAATTAATCAAAGCTGTATTTTAAATTCATCCAAAATATGACTTGTATGACATGTTCAAGCCAAGGACATGCAGTCTCCATTATTCAAGCTTTCATCTAAGAAGAAGTCAGTGTATGAAGGAAGATGTGTTGAGAGCCATGGTATGTGGCGAGAGCAAGACAGAAAGAGAGGGAGAGAGAGAAAGAGATTGAGAGAGAGAGAGAGTGAGAGAATCAATAGTGTTTAGACAGAGAAGTGGAGTCTAAGTGTGTGATCAATAGAGAGCAGAGAGGAGAGATTAGCTGCTTTTCTCTCTCAAACTAACACTGACAAATTGGTGAATTGGTGTATCGGCCCTTGGGCTAAACGGATTGACCTGCTGTTTCCATGTTCTACCGTGTACTGTCAATAAAGATCTGTGTTCATTGTGGCTCTCAATGACGAGAGTGAATGAAGCACCGGAATAGTGAAAGGAAGGAAGGGAAATGGAAAAGTCTGATGAAAGAAAAGCAAAGTACAACTCAGATGCCCAAATGGCCTCGATTCTCATAAAATGTCCTCACCTTTGTCTCATTAACACATATGTGCACTCACATGTGCATCGTCCACACACTGTTATAAAACCATAATAACGTCTCCAGGAAAATTAATGGAAAGACAGATTAAAAACTAAGTGAGGAGAAACGGGCCACTGGTGTAGCTATTTGCAACTCATAAATCATTCTGACACACCCACGCGCATGTAGACACACACACACACACACACACACACACACACACACACACACACACA